TTAACCGTTCATTGATTTATATTGCATGAATCTTTACAGACAAGCTGCGGCACTCTAATGCGAAGTAAACTGCAGCGTGTGTGTGAAGAGGAGGGTGTGAAAATGTGTCAATCAGGCTGCTTCCTGTTAGGATCTCTGTGGTACCAGGCTCACCACAACGGATGATACATATATTTATATATAATGTATAAGTGTTCATGCTTTGTTTTCTACAGTATCACAGTCATGTCAGACTTCCGCAGAATCCAGATGCAGAAGTTTACTCACAGCTTCCACTGATCACTAGTTATTAAAGTGCAAATGTTTGCAATGCTTATCAGTCTATTAGTGATCCTGTGCAGCCTCTGGGAGCTGGCAGTGGTACTGTGATTGTGGTAGCTTCTACTATTACCCCTCTTTGTTTTGTTAATATTACCTTTACTTCCTCATGAACTTTTGCATAACTGGAAAGAACAGCAATAGAAGGGGAAAAATCAATATGTTTTAAACTTCACTAACACCTGTGACGGGTGATAAGTGAACATCGTTTTTGGTAAAAGGCTGGAGTACCATAGACACTATCACCCCTTGGTGTATGAAATATACTTTGAAGCCTCCGATTTGGTATTTGTGGCTGTTTCAGTCATGAGTTTCTTTGTTTTTAAGAAAACACAACGTTACTTACATGAGAAGCAGTCCTTAGAAACACTGTAACCACCTGTCATCCAAGAGAGCCACACCCCTAAGTTTGTATTACTTTAAGCTTTGATGGCAGTAAAACCAAACGATAATACACAAAAGCAGGTGAACAATCAAAGATGCCACACAGGTATATGTGTCATCATCTTGCCTAGCGACCTCTTACCAGTAGGCTAAAATGACCAGTTTGTGGCGTTTATGCACCTATAATGTTATTTTAATTTCACGACAGTAACATTTAATTTGTATCTACAATACATGAATATTAGGATATGTTTCATATATGATGATACCATCATGTTGCCAGGCAACCATATAATGGCAAGCTAAAATGACTTTTCAATAGTAGAGCAGGGCTTGGGCTTGGATATTGCTGTACAGCTATTACAGAGAAGCGAATCAGCCACAGAGACCAAAACAGTTTCTTGCAGCAGGCTGTAAACGTTTGTATTTCTGCTGTAAAGTTGGACTGTCTTTTAATAACAGAGTCTGTGGGACTGACCTTTGGAGCCAGGCTCAAGTGGCCACTAGTGGAACTGCAGTCAACCACACTTCTTTGTTGGGTTTGTTTTTTAGCTCTGATGGTTACTGCTTGCATCATGAAATTAAAGTCATAGAGACTTGTGGTGAAATATGATTTCGATCTGCTAAAGATTTCCCGTTAGGGTTCATTTATGTCCTAAGATTAGTATAAAATCTGCACCGAAGCCTTATTAAAGCATATGTACGAACTACAAAAGGCAGCGGAGTGTGGTTTAGACAACAGATGCAGGGTGACAGTTCCTGTTGCACATTTTCCTCGACCGGCTTGCATCTCTGCAGACTGAAATTGCTGGGTGTGCTCATACTGGTGGTTTTCAGTACCTTTTTCACGTGAAGGCACGGCTCAGTTTGTGATCGTGCGCGTATGCGGTCTGCAAAACGGGTGCTTTCATTTCGGCAGCTGGTCACAGTGATCACTAATTAGCAGAGACAAAGGAGCACGATGCGTGCAATTCTGTCTGTCGGGTGATTTAATTTCTCTTCTGAGCATCAAACACAAAGCAGTCAACCACAGCAGCAGAACTGGCCTCATGCAAATACCTACAGCTTTGGCCTTAAGCTGAAAGAAGACGACTTATTTAAGATCTAAGTTAAATAAAACCGTGTAGTTTGTCTGCTATGGCTTCCAAATCATCTACACTGTGACCTAATTTAAGGAAAAACAAAAATCTAACCACAGTATGGCTGTATTCATGTCTATCAGATCTTTCATTAGACGGTAGCCACAGCCTTCTATTGCTGATAGAGCAGGTGACACCCACAGTAGCCACAAACGACCTAGATCAGTTTTCCTGCTGGGGTCACTTTTTTATTTTACTCTGGCCTTGAATATTAGGCATGCAACATGCAAACAGATCTGCAAAGGACAAGGAAAGATCACGATTCCAGAGGCTGCTCATCAGATATTCACAGCTCTCAACAATAAAATGATAAACTCAAATCAGTGTATTTGAGCAACCTGTATAATCCTATTTTAAACCTTAACTTTATGGACTCTGGACTTTCAGTAGTAATAAAACTGTAAATATTCAGCACTCTATTGTGCTTTCGACTTGTCTTTGTGTCCAAAGGTCGTCCTTATGGGACACTTGTTTACTCTTTTTTTTTTTGTGTGTGTGGCTGTTTTAGAGGCCAAAGGCAGTGGAGGAAACGCTCATTCACTGTTACAGCAAATGTTCATAAAAACAACAGTCGCCATTCGTTTTAAATAAAGAGGTCGTTGCACGTGCAAGCGATTAGTTTTAGACTGCTCTGTTTGTGCTTACAGAAGACCCACCCACCTGTTGTTCTTACCTTGTGTTTGTTAGGGGTAGCCAATCACAAAAGGGTTGGCTTAAAAGGAGGAGGAATGAAGCTAGATAGTTTTCCTTTCTTTTTTTACACACAGAGGATGGAGTGGGCGATAAATAAGCATTATTTTTAAGTGGCATGCTGGTATAGTGTGTTTTCCTTGTGAATCAATGAAAAAAAGCAAACACTTAGAGGTTTAAACAATCTAACGGTAATCAAAAGCTTCAGTTCAAAATCTGTGCTGATCTGGACGGATGTATTTCCTCATATATTCAGACTTTAATTGGAGCAGGAGCAGTTATCAGCATTTTTGTTTCCTCCTGGACAACTCTTGGACATCCAGGTCTGCTCCCATTGGAGGGCATTGACCTCTAGGGCTCATGCTCAAGCTCTTCGCAGCTAGTTAGTTGGCAGTGGGTGATAGTGAGGGTGTAACTGTGCTCTGGGTGTTGCTGGCTAATGGCTCCGACAGCACACTGAGACAATAGCCAGGGAGGCCCGCCCCACAGAGAGCGAGAGAGATAACGATGTTACTAACAGCGAGTTTCACATGGGAACTGCTTGAATCTGGCTGATAGGAAAGAGGAAGGCCGAAGAAGGTTCAAGAAAGCCCCAAAGTAGAAACTGCCACAAAGTAGGCTTCCTTATTCCCATGGTGAACCGATGAAAGGTGAGATACAGAAAGAACAGATCAGAAAAAAGGTGGAGTGGAGAGATAAACAAGAACTGAGTGGCTGTCCTGTGTGGAGCTCTGTTTGGCTGCTTGAAGTCAGGTTTTAATCTAAATGGGCATGTAATCCAAATAAAAATATCATTTTTATCCTCCAATCAGCTCGTTTCATCTCATGTAAATGTAATCCAGCTCAGAAAGATTATAGCTGGTGCTGACTCGGAGGCAGTCAGAGCTACTTTATCGCTACTTTGCCTCTGTTGGTTATTCATTACATATTTTTTTCATTTTATCGCTTAAGAAGAGTCATGACTGAACAAATAGGAGGCGTGTTGCTTCTTCTTACTGTGTTATGAGGCTCATCTGACTGGTGAAGGTTTTTGTTCATGAACTGATGATTTTGAGTTATTTTAAGCTGTTATAGAAAGTTGTGGACTGGCTTTGTTTGTCCCTAGTTGTTGAGTTTTTGTACTTTTCATTTGTGGGAGATATATTGTAGAATACAGAGGCACTGCTACAGTCTTTGAGCTTAAAATGGAGGTTGGATTGGCATTTATGAAGTACTCCTTTAATCTTTTTGACCATTCAAACGTGTTGCATAAGCTAAATTTACCCATTCATATGTGTAGGGCTTTAGTCTTTGTACTTTATCCGCCTTACATACTTAACTACATCCACATTAGAATCCCCATGTAGGCTAACATGCATATCTTTGGACTTTTGAAGAAAGCTAAAGTACCTTGGGACCATGTAAGCTCCTCACAGGAAGTTCAACCAGGAGATTTGACTTCAACACGATCAACCTATGAAGCGATAGTGCTAACCTCACTGCACCATCATGCAGCCCAGGATGTCAAGAGCACAAGAGTTTGTGATCTTGACATCCTAGATTCTCTAATCTAATGTGATCGTTGTTGATTTTCTGAAAAGATAAAAAGAAAAGTAAAAACCAGATAATAACCACTCTCCTTTCCCACTTTATTAGATGTTAAAGGCGCACTTGAGCAAGCCGCTTATCCACTAATTGTATTCATGGACTTTGCATTGATCGCTGTTGTGCCTGGTAGTTCCCAGGATTTAAAGTTGTGGGCATCAGGCAGTTGAAAAGGAGTATTCATGCTCAGTTAACTCCTTCCGTGGTTGAATAAAGGCTAAAGGAAGAAAGACTGAGGCAATTAGTCTTAAATGCCCCTCTCAGACACAGCGGCACGCTCCGGGGCTTTTTCTATCTCCAAAATCTGCTGTTTTGAGTCATTATCCCTCAACCCTCCGTAGACCTTTAGATAGCTGTGCCCTGAAGCACGAGCTGAGCTGAGAAAATCCCATCAAGTTCAGATTTGGTTTGAAAGACATCTGGTGTGGAGCTGCCGACCAATGGCAGCGCAGCGAGTTCACCAGCATGTCATTCACTGGAGTATTTAAAACCTGGCGTGGCAGACGGCAGTCATGTGTAGTATTAGGTTAGTTTTGATGCTTCAGATAATAAGTGATTGATACCGCTCTCATGATTGTTGCTGGAGCTCGTTAATTCAGCTTCTTCTGGAGCTTTTTATTAATAAAATCCACAAAACTTCTATATGAACGTGTGGGTTTATGGGTGCGTATGTGTGTGTAGGTGATTGTTTTTTGTTTGTTTTTTTCCTTTGGTTTAGCATTGTGTCCTGCAGATAACCCGCCTGTAAAACCGCCACTGTTGTTTTTCCACTCAAACCTGACAAACAGCACGCAGCAGGAGCGAACAGCTGTTGTAACCACGTGCTTGTTGTGTTATAATTAAGCCGACACGTATCTAAACACAGTCTGACCTTTGCTCCCGCAGAACCTGATGGCCAAAGCGTTGTACGACAACGTGCCGGAGTCCCCCGAGGAGCTGGCCTTCCGGAAAGGGGACATCCTGACCGTCATTGAGCAGAACACAGGCGGCCTGGAGGGCTGGTGGCTCTGCTCCCTGCACGGCCGCCAGGGCATCGCCCCCGGGAACCGCTTGAAGCTGCTGATCGGACCCATGTTCGAGGCTCAGTCGTCGGGCGCCGCCGCCGCCCCTTCTCCATCTCAGAGCTATCAGCAGAAGGCTAACTCGGGGTCTCAGGGCCTCTACCAGGTGCCCCCGTCCCTCCAGAGCCCACAGCAGCAGAGTCAGCAGAGCATCTACCAGGTCCCACCGGGACAGGACGTCTACCAGGTCCCACCGAGGAGTACTCTAGCAACTGATAACACACCAAGCAAGGTGAGACAGAGCTCATCAGTCAATCTGTCAGCTAGTTTGGGTTTCCTTTATTGACTCAGCCCAAGAAAGATACATCACTATGGAGCACAGCAATCAATAGTGACCATCTGATTTCACTGATTAGTCCTCCTTTAAAGCAAAGTTGAGGGGCTCATCAGTGAAACCACCTGGTAAGATGATTGGAGAGAAAAACTGTTATTACTGAGTCGTACTTTTTTTCCCTAATGCGCGCACAATGTTTTGCATTTAAATGCACTTGTACACACTTTCATCTGTAGCAAAGGGTCGCACATTAATATTTATCAGAGCATCAGAAGAAGAGGAAATAACAAAATGGAAAAGGTTTAGAGTAACAGAAAATGGAGTCTGGCCTGTTCCCCAAACTCTGGATATTTGGGATCACATTGGATTTCTAAGGTAACATCAGCTGTGGCGGGTGTGGGAATGAGATGTGATGGGAAATGGCATTTGCGCGTTTACACCGTGATCCGTCAGGCTCGGCTCTCACCAGCGCGCGCACGGAAAGCAGAAAGGCCAAAGAGGAGATTGCAGCTCTGCCATGCGAAATGTGTGCAGGGTGTGCCGGGCCTGGCGCTCACCACAGAGCAGGGTAGTGTTTTTGTGCACGGCTCCCATTTGGCTTTATTCCTGTATTGGCACACTGTGTTCAGCAGAGCCAGTCTAACCCGCAGAAAGGCTGCGAGTATGGAGAGAAATTGTGGAAAAGCAAACAGTACAGAGCTGTTTTTTGGATTTTGGTGGAGCACAGCTGCATTTAAATGCTTTAAACATGGTCACTGGCAAACACACTGGACTTGGTCATTTGCAGTATAGCTATATATACACAATTCTCCAACCAGCGTATCCATGTATTCATCATTTTATGGCCTAGATCGTATATCATTTAAAGTATATATTTTAATTTGCCTGCTGAAAAAAGCATTTAATAGTCTTAAATCACCTAGTTATCAGTTTATCAGTGTTTATACTCATAATTATAATCGAATTATTATTATTTCATTGTCATTTTAATTTCTGCACCAAACACTTTCCTAACTGTGGGGTAATAAGTCTTCTCTTGTGTTCGGTGTCTCCGATACTGCTGAGCCAGCTGAAGCCTTCTTTACTTGCTCTTGTTTTACACCACCAGACGTCTCGTACACTTGATTTAAATGCATTAAACAAGGGTGAGCAGTTAGCATGTCATTACCTCATTACACATGGAAGTCACTGGCAGGTGTGCGCTAAAATACAACGGGAGGAAATTTCCCTGGTTATTCAAGCGTTTAACTAGTACGAGCATCTCAGACCAAGTCTTACCTTCAGGAGGTGGATGGTAATTACATGCTGAATGAGCTTTTGATATCCCAAGGGCTATTTCCTTTAAAACAAATCAGCCCCAGCCATCATAGAAATGAGCTAAGGTGTTCATTTTAGTGGATAAACAGGCAGCAGGCGCCAGGGGCTTAGAGGACTTACTGTGATTCACTGCACAGGAGTTGCTGTGATAAAGTCAGTGGGAGCCAGGGGGCTGTGGGGAGAGACCTGTCAATCAGACACACACACACACACAAGCAACACCTCTCTTTTTCCGTAACAGGCTGCGAGGCTTAGCCGAGGAGCGGTATTAAAAAGGCTTTGCGATAACATGGAAAATGAAATGCGCTCCTAATGAGAGTGTATTTCTGTGCCGTAATCGTGTTATTGGAGAGATTATATTAAGTCTTGGACGTTCGACTGGTCCTCCAATCTGCGGTTATCAAAGCGCTGCAATTTTCGGCGGTTTTTCCCGTCTATTGAATAGAAAGATTTCGGCTGCGTGTGTGTCGGTGCGTCATGACAAGGATCCGCTGTTTTCCAGTGCTGTCTGAATCTTGGACAGAAGCACAATCGCCTTCAGTCGCCACAGACTGTTCCGTTAGATCTGGTTATCTCTAGTGAAACACTAAGAGAAAGGAGAGATATTGTTGGTTCGTGCTCACCAATTAGCTTTCCAAGATTTAAGGAGGAGCACCTCCAAAGCTTGAGTAGACCTGAAGCTCTCCTGATTCAATCAGATTAATTTAACCCTGCATAAAACATTTATAGAAATAATCACACAAAAAAAACCTACAAGTTGGTTCATTTTCAGGTTTATGGCTAACTAAACAGAACAGTTTGCCTCGGTTGTTGTTTTCACTATAAAATTTTTCATTTCAACCAGTTACTGACCAATTAGAGCAATGCTCCATTTACACTCATATAAAAATAGCGTTCAGCTCTTTCAAATACTCCATTTTATCCCTTTTCTTAGCAGTAATTAAGAAACTACTCTATTGTTTAACTGAATTTTATTTGAACTAATGTTCTGTTTTGAAGCCAAAACTCGTGTGTGGTTTGTGTTTTAAATTTGCTTTAATTCTGACAGTGAAAAATAGCTCAGGCTCAGTGTTTGCAGCCATTTATTATGTCCCAAGTGACAGAAAAACATCATCTCTCAAAGCTAAATTAAAGTGAAGGCTGTGATAGAAATCTATAGTTATGTTAAGCCATCCTGGATATACATACAGGCCTCAGGTTTAGAGTCACTGTATGTTTTTGGTAGAGCGGAGACGTTTACTTTCATCACAGCACACTTTTTAAGGGCGTCTAATTATGAAATTATGGTAAACGCTGTTTTAAAAAGAAGAGCCTCTGATTGTTTGCTCTGAGCTCCACGGTGTTGCGCACCAATGAAATCCCGATCGGTCGAACGGTGTGCGCCCTGCGTCAGAGTATTTATGGAAATATTTGTTGCTGATGTGAAACCCCGGCTCTGGCCTTTGCTCTTGAAAGAAGCAAAGGCAGGCTTGTTTACTACAGCGCGTCAGTGTTGATGACAGGCCGGGCTCGCTGACTTATGGCCTCGTGTTGTTTTAACGGCGGCCGTTTTCATGTCGTCACGCGCAAACATGCGTTTGGTTTCCCAAATGGTTTTTGAGACTGATGCCGGCTTCCTAGACTGATAATGCCCTCTCGTATTACTCCGAAGCCGTCATCCCCTCCTGTAGAGAGGGGCCCCCGTATGTCATGAATGTGTACTCGGAGTGGGGGGCGGAGGCGGGGGGTGTTGCGTGCCAGGCCTGCAGTGCAAATCCAGATTGGCGACTGGCTGTTTTCCCTTTCATGTGGCGTGGGGCTCCGGTATATAAGGCACACTGAGGTTTGGCGCTCGCTGCCACTCTGGCTCTTCGGTTTGGTGCTGCGGCCTTGTCCTTGGGTGACCCTCCTGGGAGGGTGAGCTAGAGCCGCCCCACCTCCCCCTCCCGTCCCCTCACATAGCCTTAAAGCTGGGTCCGTGTGGGACGGACGCCATGGAGCTCTCGGCCACACAAAGAGCCTCCTCACATGGAAGCCAGGAGCAGCCTTTTATCATGTGGCTCCCAGAGGCCCGTGTTTCATCTCAGCCTTGATTTCCTCCTCCTCCTCCTCCTTCTTCACCATCTCTGAAAGGTGTGTCTGTTTTCGCCCCGGTCACTGTTGTGACTCAGGCGCTGAGGTCACGGCGCCCAGTGATGGGCTGGGTTCAGAGTTCAAATATCTGCCCTTATCTGCTCCTTTCAGGCGGCCTTTTCATTCCTCCCTTCCTGCCTTCATGAAGTCTGCTCCTTGTATAGGCATTTCCTCCTCTCACCACGTCGTAGCCGTAGATGCAATCTGTTCATTGGTGCCGTAAAGAGCACAACAAAGGGTTTAATGAACTCAACACACAACTCAAGGAAGTGCCCTGATAGTGCTTTGTAGACTGCGAGGGTGTGCTCGTGTACCTTGATAAAGCAGTGCTTTTTGAAGTAACCAGGTTATGTGAGAAGAATGGCTTGTTTGTTTGCCTCGGCCATATTTTCTCTGCCTAATCACGTGCACGGCAGTCTCAGCAGCAGATAAGTGAGTTATTTCTTCCTGGAGGAGGCCGGCTCCTTCAAACGCTCGCCATTGTCACATTGGTGATGAATCGCTGGCCGGCGAGATTCGACCAAGAGGGCACGACCATAAATCAGTCGCACCAAAAGTAATCTGCTCTGGGGTGAGCGCACTGACAGGACTTTCTCCTCTGGAAAAGTTTAAAGCAGACAGTGTGATAAAGTTGCAGAGGAAGGCCAAGAGAAGACAGGAAATGCTTTCTTGAAAGCATTTATAAAAACCAGAGCTTACATATTTTATCTTCTTTTTTTTTTTTTTTAAAGCCAGCCAACAATCCAAAAGACCAAAACAGATTCAGTTTCACATCGCAGAAGGCAAACAAAACCAGGAGGTATTTACATTTAAGAAGCCAACGCTGGTTTCATTTTGGCATTTTCAGCCACACTAGCAGCTCTTTGGTTTACAGTGTGGGTCTGTCACTCCGCGGCTGGACAGAAATATCTCTCTGACCACGGGATGATTGGCATTAGATCTACTGCAGACATTCGCCTCCCCTCGATGATGAACCCTCATACTTGCACGGCACTTTTCTACTCTAACTGAACAGTCAAAGCACTTTTATTACAAGCTGCATCCAACCATATAATAATTTATACTACATTTCAAGTGCTTTTGAACCAACAAAAACTCATATAGTCCAGGGTTCAGTAGTACACAGAAGAGCTTTAAATAGATGCACAGTTTCAAGTAAACCTTTAAAGTGTTTTTTAAATGAGGAGAATACACTGACATAAGTGTCCTCACACACACCCAAAAACACACCTGTTATATCCTCATTAGATCCTGTTAGATCTTCGTTTCCGGAGAGGGACTGTGAAGAAGTGCAACAGAAGAAGAGTGTTAAAGTACAACGATAAGCAAACATTTGAGCCGCATAACTTCTAAAAAAAGGAGCAAACACATTTTTTCCTTGTCAATAAATAAAGTTACGCAGGTGAAAAGTATTCCATATCCTGGCTACTCACTACTTCACCTGTGAGGTATAAAAAGCTTTCCGCTGGTGAGCACCACCTGCCTTCTTCATTTACATCCAACCAAAGTTTCAGGTCATAAATCCACTG